AAATGTATTACTTGAACCTTCTGTGTAGAATTATTTTCAAGTTATTTCTAAAGTGATCCAATTATTTAAATTCCTTCATTTAAATTAAATCTAGGAATTAAAGGTCTGTTACATTTTAGGATGTTAGAATATTTTCTGAATTATTTTATTGGTGATTGATGAAATGGATTGATCAATAAATAATTTCCAATTTATTTATTGATTTCCCGTGATATGTAAATATAATATAGCAAAAGTTTAAAATTAGGTGTTTCAAACAAGGCTGCTTGCTGAAACTCCTCCAGAAATCAATCAGCAGGGTTTTGGCAGGTTACACATTAATTATTTATTAGAGTTTCAGCAGAGTTTCGCATTTTGAGGTTTCACCATTTCAGCATAGTTTCAACAGGATTTTTGATAAGATTTTGCTGTGGTTTCAGTAATCACTAAGGAGGTTTTGCCCACAACCTTAGTTTCAAACATATAAAAGTCCATGTGACTTCATTAAACTTATATGAAAAATTTACAAGATATTCTTGAAGACCTAAGTTATTAAACTGTATAAATTTTAAGTATAGTTTATTAAATAATTAGTTTAAGATCCTTACAATCTTGGTATTTCTTTACTTCAATTATTTGCTGAATATTTAATAAAAATAAAAATGTCATCAATTGATCCATAAAACAAAAAAGAAAAATTTTGACTTGGGGTGAGAAAAAACATCTTTGTGAATTTCATGAAAGGAATTCATCATTCACATATAAGGAACTTGGGTGGAAATTCAAAGTTGCAGAAAATACAGTTTGTAATGTAATTTGAATGGCTAGTTTTTCATCATAAATGTTTGAACCATCAGTTTTTTGACATAATTATTGATTCTTTTAATCATTCATCTCAGCTTATGTTTTCTTTATAACTTGATGTATAATTAATTATTTTAATCAGGCATTTATAATTTGTATTTAATATTAAATTGCATAACCTGTACTTCTCTAGACTTTTCAAAAAACTCCAAAAAAGGATAGGTACAGGGATCAACATAGCGGGTATTCAATTTTAAGAAATGATCGGCATTAATTTACCTGTTGTGAATAGACCGTGATCATTAAAAACATTCATATCTCCATTCATTAAAACCTTTTCGTTGCCAAGAACTAGAAAAGTATCAATCGAAGATAAATCAAAATTTAGTTGATTTTGGTTATTCTCGAATCTTATGAAAAATGTAATCATATTTGGTCCAGTAAACCAATGTCCTCCAGTAAATATGGATAGTTGTGGAGAATCTAAAGTGGAAATAGTTGAATCAGTTGTAGTTGTTGTTGTCAACGTAGTAGGCTCGATAATTGTTGTTGTTATGTTATTGTTATTACGAATGGGAATATTATCGTTCAAAGGTAAATGTGATGCGGAATAAATTGATATGAAAAAATAACTACTAGCTGATAACAATAATGCAAAAACCATCACTATAGTAATCATTTTTATTGAAATGGTGAAATATTTTTTTGTCTTGTTTTTCATCATCATCATATTATTATTTAAAATTTGTTTAAGCTATATAAAAATGATAAAGATTTCTTTAAATCTAAAGAGGGAAGAAGAGAAGAAATAACAAAAAAAAAAAAAACAAGAAAAAGTAAATGAAACAAAGTAAATTTTTAAAAATCTTAAGCAAGAAAAATTTGAAAATTTATTTTTATAATACATGTTTGTATATGGTCTGTCCTATTAATGGTGATTACGAATATTTTTGTTTTAATATTAACAATGGCATGTTAATTGTGGAGTAAACCTAAGAAAAATTCATTTCCAAGTAATTTAAATTAAAAATAAACAAAATAAACGAATTATCTCGTTTTTTTAAAATCTTTTTGGATGCTGTACAACTTCATTAATTTGGATTTATCGATTTGTAAAGGATCTATTATTTATTATCGTTGCATGCATTGAAAGAAAATATTCGTCTTACCTGAAAAGTACGATGTTTGATTTTTTAAAAAAATAATATCTTTTTCCAACAATTAATTCTACAAAAACATATATAATAATCGCACCAGAAATCTTGACCTGTGATGATAGTTCATCAATTAAATTTTTCTTTAGCTAAATCTTGATTATTTCCGCAGGCTGACAAAGTTTTACTTTTAAAATCATTACTATCTATAAGATTAACCAATCAAATAATTTTCCTCCGTCGTATTAATTATTATTATTATGGTAGTAGTGGCTGTTACTATGTATGTCTGTCGGATAGTGTCCGATGGATATTCAAATATCCGAACATCCCCCAAAAAATTAAAAAGAAACTTATATCAAAAGTGATAAAAACATCAATTAATATTAGTGGTGTGTGATTGATTATAAATAAAAATATATAGTAATAGTTAATTCGTAGATTTTGGTGGCGATCTGCGGTGTGCATTTGAAACATCTAAGCTCCATTATAACTATATTAATATATATGCGAGATTTTTTCAACGTTATATCAAAAAATCTATTGGTTATTGTGAATTTTTTATTTAATAAAAAATAAAATAACAAGATCTTATAATATAATGAACCATCAGTCGACGCTCGATATAGTGAATCTATTATATAGTAAATCGTACGATATAGTAAATTTGGAAAATTTCCCATATAAATTCCGTTCGATATAGTGACTTTTAATATAAATCCTCGATATAATCATATAGTGAAGTTTTACTTGGTACCCCTTATATAACTAAAGATCGATAAGTTTTTATAAAAATTTGTTGATCATTACTTAATTGTATTAAAATAATAATAATTTTTGAATTTAGTATATAATTTGTCGCAAAAAATCTTCTCATGAATATTAACATTAATATGAATTTGGTAATTTGTCGCAAAAAAATTTTTAAAAGTATTATACATGAAATTGAAGAATTAAATTTAGTAATAGTGTTGAAAATAAAGTAATTGGATTTTAGTAATGTGTCGCGAAAAATAAAGTAATTGAATTTAGTAATAATGTGTCGCAAAAATTCAGCAATTCATTTTTTGTAAAAATTTTGCCGATCTTTTTTTGTCAAAACCAACTCTTTCTTATATCAAGCGCCGAGTGTACATGTTAGCCAAATTTGGTTTCGCGTTTGCAAATATTTTGGTGATATTCTGGCTTTTCCATATTCCCTATATCAATGGTCATAAAAAAAACCACACAGAATTTTGGTTATTGAATTCAACATAGCGGGTATTCAATTTTAAGAAATGATCGGCATTAATTACACTACATATGTTTCATATACAAACTGACCGTCATCTGACTTTAACTCGACTTTGCATCACCAAAATCAATTTTGTGGCAATAAAAACAACATATTCTGATTTCTCACCTTCTATTTTACAGACTGCCAAAATAATTCAGTAAAAAGTGAAGTAATTCGGAAGTTAGTTATAGAAGTCTTTTTTGCAATTAGAAAATCATATGTTCACTGAAAATAATAAACTTAAATTAAATCATTTAACAACTGTTAGGGACCATAAACAATACCAATAGCCCACGTTCTGTTTAATATTCTGGTTAGTGATTTGGATGAGTAAAACGTTTATTTAAATTATTCTTTTGTATTTTATTTAATTTGTTAGAAGGTACATTTATAAACGTTAATCATAATTCTTGCACTATTTCATAGTTCTAAATCATGTCATGTAAAGGATTACTGAACCAAAAGAAGACATGAGTTGGTTATAATGGTGTCATTAGTCTATGGTGAGAATGTATGAATGAATTTATTTAATAATTATAATTTTATTTAATACAATTTAATATTTATAATTTATAATATTTATAATTTATTTAATACAATTTAATATTGTGAGATCAAAATCCGTGTCTCACACAAATCTTTTGGATTTGGTTCTAATATTATTTATCCCTTCTTATGGCAGTATCCAATTATGTAATTCTTTGATTACTTCTCTTCCAGTAACGTTTTCTCAGCAGTTGCTATGTTTGCTGCCTGAGCCGGAATGTGTCAATTATTATCTCCTCTGATAATAATCCCAGTATCCTCCTTGATACCGATATGTTGTGTTTATATAGACGGTTCAGTGTTTCTTAACTGACCGCACCTAGCTAGGGTTTCCACTTGTTTAGGCGTTGGCCTAATCTAAAATAAAAATAAAGAAAATAAGATTAAAAGAGAATACACACTATACTTATCAAAGGCATCCCCCTGGTAAGATAGTTATTAATTAATGATTAAGTTAGAGTTAAAGGTTTATGTGGTTTTGGAAGCGGGTGGATAATTCCACTGGCAATAGATTATTTTAAGAGATAATTATGTTTGTATTTTATTAGTAAAATATTATTGTTATTACAAGATAGTAGTTAAGAATGAATTAACTGATTATTACATGAAAGAGAAATTTACAATGTATTTATTAGGGTTTGTATTCACGGATACCATGAATACCGTTAAGGGGATTACACACTAATAAATCAGCAAAAAATCCCTTAAAAACACTTGATTTTAATAGTGTGTAACCCTGTGTGACCTCTTTACGGTATCCGTGAATACAAACCCTAGTATTTATACATGTTAAAGGTTCTATCATCTAGTTATCCGACTTTGTTAAAATCCTAATTTATACTAATTAGTATATTCCTTAATTATTATTTAAACCTTCCGTTTAGAATTATTTTCAAGTAATTTCTAGTCATCATGAGTCATGTAA